GCAAAGGTTCTCGGTCGTCCTTTACCGAGAGCATTACCGATGATTCCTAAGGCATATACATTGGTGAGATTGACACATCGCGAAATCAATGTAAAGTATGTTTTCTGTGACACAATTATGGATATTCCGAAGGCAATTATTTAAGACACGAGTGCACTTGGAAAAGAGAAGGGAATATTCGGCACGTGGTGCTGTAGCGGGGCGTGATAGTTAACTTTAAGAACGCCGGCGGAAGGTCGTGTCTGTGAATACAGAGCCTATTATGGCGCCTGATACTATTCGGCAGGATTCTACAATAAACAATAGCGTAAGACTTATGCAGTAATTGCGAAACAAATCCTGAAACCAGCAGTAGATTTGTGTAAAAGTCCTGAAACCAGCACCAGTTCTGAGACGGGCCAACATAGAGTGGGACAGATGTTTACCACACCATTTTTAACTGCCTAATTGAATAAAACTGCGTGATTGGGTAATATAGTTTCTATTTTCAAAGGAGCCGTTGAATGATCTCATTGGGCAGACTTGTTCGGCAAATAAAAGGCGCTTTGTTCATTTTGCGACAAACGAGCCCCTGCGTTAATGGTCGAAGGCCTCTGTGTTGGAACTCTATCTTTGCTGGAAGCCTACCAGCGATGTAAAGGTAAGAGACGAAGTGTTTATTTATCTGTAGCCGACCAGAGAGTGGATGTCGAGTCAATGTTAATTTCTGTGCACGTGACAGAGCAGGGGACGCGGCGTGCGATAAGCAGACGAAAGAGACCGTACCGGACTGTGTGTAGGTACGAAAGTCGACGATTTCCACAATTATATCGATTTAACACTATTTTATGGGATGTATTTTGCTGTTTGTTCAATGCCTGCACCTTGGAATAGGTTGGACGTTATCAAGATCGTATATCTCTCTCGTTTGGTACTTTGCAGGTCGAATGCGAATTGTTGGCGACAGTTCTGATGTACGTATGGAGTATTTTTGACGTCTTTACGTGTTGTTTTACTACCAGGGATCGGATACAAGGGCTGTCAAAGTCGTGTAACAAGGTCAAGGTGTGAAATCGCGCCATAAAGGCGCGATTTGTGATTGCCAAGCACTGAGTGAACCCCCTGATGCACAATGTACGTGAAAGAAGCATGTATGATGCTTCATGATGCATCATGATCGATGTAAGTGATGTCCCGCAGGTGCAGGTAGAAGGAAGTGTTATTGTTGAGGTCTTAAAGATGACACATATTATGTTCTTAGCACTTTGTTCACAGTGAATGTTAGCAATGAGAGTAAACAAACAAATAATATATAGCAAGCGTGTTTAAAGCAACGTGTTGGCAAATATGTTGTTGTATTTATTCTCTATAAAAGCTATGCACAGCACGTTTAATTAAGTATAAAGGCAATCGATCCACGCGGGTGGCATTCATTCGAGGTAGTGTCGGACATCACTGTATACGTCACGAATACTTACGCTAGATGTTCAGACCTTATCGGGTCACTTAAGTCAATTGACTTTGTTTCGAAATGCTTGTTCTTTTGTTCCATAACAGTCGCATGGCGTCGACATGTTATCTTGTTGTGTCCCTCTTGAAAGCGGTAGCGGCATTTGTAAGTGGGTCCAAACTTCGAATCCCCAAAGCTACCGATACGTCTTTTTTGTCGTCGCCCATTTTTTTATAAAACAATGGTGGATTCATCTTCACTTGTGGTGTTCTGGTGTTGACAACCAATTCCTTCGACTTACCCAGAAAATCTTGCTCAAACGCTTTGACCAAATATGCAGGATGAAAAGCTGCTGTTATGTCGATTGTAAACCCATTAGCATGCAATACGGCAACAAGGTGTCGGCAAGGCAATCTCATTTGCATGAAAGCTGAACAAGAGCAACTTAAAGCCTCAACGTCAATGCGCCGATATCTAGCATATCCTTGTTTCGAGGCAAACCATATAGTAGAGGTCGACCGCACAACTTCATATCCACCTGCAGCTCCTTGTTCTTTTTTCCAAAGAGACCACGCACGAGGAGTCACAGTAAGTTTCTTTGTTCTCCATTGTTTAATTTGATCTTGACGCATGCAACAATTTTCCATAGTCGCCTGTGTCAAAATTTTCAATGCTTCGAGAGGCGATGCATCACGAATTCCATGAACGAACATGGTGTTGTTATCGCTTTCGACAAAGTTAGTGGTGCGCCACCCAAAAAGAGAACATGGTATCATTGGTAAAGCTAGATGGTCTTAGTGATACGTGCATGTGGCCAAATTTGTGCTCGACGTCGTGAACTTTCTGACATTTAAATTTTTATCGACAACTTCCATTTGCATATTCGCAAATACAGTCCAATAATCAATGGGATCGATATTCCCGATGTATGTGGCAACATCATCTACATACTTTGTTTGTACCTTCGTAAGAGCTGCGTTGTATTCGATCTCGGATTCTGCTGCTTGAATGTTTCACACAGCGTTCTTTAATTCAGATCCAGAACACCTAAAGTTTCGTTTGATGTTGCGCAAAATGTGCTAAGTACAGAATCGAATCTGGAGGCTGATACTTGTCATTGCGTATACATCTTTCACGGAATATTGTATCTTCCCACGATCACACATCATCGCGACATTCACTAAATTAATTCCAGCATTGATACACTGAATGAAAAACCATGAAATGTTGTCCTGGTTCTCCACATCTACGAAAGCAGTAGCCAGCGTAATGTTTTGTCCGTCTCCGTCTCGACCAGTGGAAATAGTGTCACGCCATTTAATTTGTGATGTCGTGAATGCGTTCCATCAAATCCAACCACGGGAATGTTATACTGTTGGCTGCTTACCGACACTCCAAAGGCCAGAAACAAGCGGAAAAATCGATTCTCTTGGTCAAATTCGAGCGCCAAAATGCTGGATACGTTCAAGCGCTTAAACTCAATCAAATGTGGAGCTAAAAGCCCAAAAGACGACTTCCACTCGCCTTCCACCTCTTCAATTACCGCTTCTTTGGCTTCGTAGGTCTGGGTTCGATAATTTTGAAGGTTAGATTCATCACGAACGCGGACTAGCGTCACAATTGCCTTGCGCTTGATGCCCTTGTCACCTCGAACCGCAGCACTAAAAGTAGGAAGAAGCTTGATTTGACGTGCTGAAGGCTTGGTAGTCGCGAGGCATACATTCAAGTGAGCATCGACAAGCGTCGAAATGTAGTGCTTCGAAGATGCATTCTTCCGCTGTCGCCTCGTCACGCGGACTTCCCACGGGCACCCGTCTTGTGGACACACATACGTCTTGCTCCCACCACTGCACCTCTTGACCTTGCACTGTTTATTTTGATTAAAACAGTAGTCTTGTATTAACATAGTTGCAACAGCGCTCGTCTGGAAAATGTGTCCTTTCGACAGTACTTTAGTACCGTAAATTTCTTCCATGTCAATCGTCGCCATTTTGGGGGACAACATCGTGAATTTATATTATGTTAATACATAAATATAACTTTCTTAATACACCACACACAAAATTGTGTCGTTTACGTAAAAAAATGGTGTGGTTTTCATCATTTCGGCTGGACGTGATCTCGTCTCAAAACTGGTGCTGGTTTCAGGACTTTTGCACAGATCAACTGCTGGTTTCAGGATTTGTTTGTGATTGCGTGATGAAATCAATTGCATGCACCATGTCGTCAGTAGTGAAACCGAAAGGAATCAAGCAGGCGTCGGGTAGCACATAGCAGTGAAGTAAGTGCACACACAGTGCGCGGTACAATTCTGTGCTTTTTGAGCATGTATATATAGCAGCTGATCGTAGACGTTTAATCATATTGCAAGCTCTTGACATTTACGTGCAAATATATAAATGTCGAACTTTCATGACAATTGACAAACATCAAAAAGTAAGCTGCGTGTTTTTACGTATGAAATTGGCAAGGCGCTCTCTGAGGGTACATTTCGACCATTTTCTGTCGTACAGGCGAAATATGCAGTGTATCTATATGCATGCTTGCTGCGAATCGAGCATCGTTTAGTTTGGCTACTGCCGAGAGGCATCCTAGAAATTTCGACGCTGCATACAAACAGACAGAAGTCGAATTGAAGCACAATTTCAAGCCTCAGCTTTGGTTATGCAAAATCATTGCAACATCAATGTAGAAACGAATGAAGCTGCTCGCTTAGTCATTTGTGTCATATAGGCATACATCAGCATTTGATGCGACAACCTTCGCACAGGTATGACATTATGCAATGTTGTTTGTAGCACAAAGCAAAAATTATCGAAGGCGGACCCAGCGAAATTATACAATAATATCTTGTTCTGTCATTTTTACCTTTTTAGACCTTTCGCATAACTTATCCGGATTCGTACAATAACATGTTCTTTGCTCGCAAAACAGCTTCACCTGGCTATTATAAACTGTGTCTGTATCTTTTGCTACAGCCTGATGACGAAGGTAAGTTTCGTAAAGCAAAACTAATGCGAAAATAGCATAATACAGGTCACGGAAATACGCGTAAAAATGCCTGTAACGATGCATTCAACCAGCGCACCTGTTTGCCGATGTGTAATTTCACGCAACTTTACAGCCAGCAGGAAAACAACCGCTCAAGTTTTCCTAAATTTCCTGCTCTATCGCTGAGTAATACCGCAACTTTCGCGACGGCAGTACGTCGAGAATGTGTTGTTTTGCTTCGACGTCAAACTTTGATGGCACAATGCGTAGGAAGTCAAGGCAAACAATACACAAGCAAGAGTCACAAACGCAAATGATCGCCCGATGGCTCACTCGCGCGGATCAAAGTCGGGATTTATTCTACTTTCTCGTTTCCGTCGGCATCGACTCGGCCGCTACATGCACTTGGTGTCTCAGCGATCGAATCGAACCTTCTCACTGACGCTCGTGACGACCCAAATTACCAACGAGATGACTACAACTATACCGTCAACACAAGACCAAAAGTGCTTGACATGTCGTTTGTTTAGTGCCAAACACGAGCGAGTGCAAGAACTGCATCCCAGATACGCCGACCGCCTCAGTGGGTGATCCCCTCGAGGAGCGGATTGTACCGAAGTCCCAGGCTGATGCCAAGCACCAACATGTGGGGGAGACCATTTGCCACTAGATTGCCCACGATCGCGAGAAACGGAATGTACAACGCGGGATGGCGGTGGTCCAGCACATGCAGCAACGGAACGTCAATGTCTTTCCAGAACGCGTAGCTCCCGTTCACGTTCAGGTAAATGACGTGCTCACTGCCAGGCACACGAACTTGAAAGGGCGTGAAAGCGCGACAGAACGCAGCCAAGAACGACGTCAAGATGCACGAGCCAATGAAGCTGGAATTGTGCATGCCACCGTGACCGTTCGTGATCTGTATGACACGGAACCCACATGTTAGTCAGTGCTTCCAACAGCGTGCAATCGTCGGTGCTGCCGCGACTTGACGTACATAGAGGCACACGGGCAAGAACCAGAGGTGGTGCGTTGCAAAAAATGTCTTGGAGAACGTGCGGTTTTCCGGGTACGTGAGGTATTGCATTGCCCCCGTGATGAGCTTTCCATTGAGCACGAACGAGAGCGTGTCAATGTACCAGAGCAATTGGTCTCCCGCCACGGTCACCATCTGTATCCAACGAGTGCGTGCCACGTTATCGCCCCCCGCTCATCCAGATTCAAGTCAGCAACAATAGAGTCCCACGTGATCTTACCGCTACGCCCACCAGGAAGGGCTTTGACAGGTACAGCGCCATGACCACAAGCACGAGGGACACGTTGCACGCCCACAACATCTCGTAGAGCACGTAGGTGCCTATGGATTGCGCAACGCACACACACACATGTGACTTTGATCCGCACTCGTGCCGTATCGGTAGGCAAACACATGCACAACCAACGAACGCACCGTGTTCGTAGAAGCGGAAAAGCACCAGCATCAGCGTGTAGAGCGCAACTAGAGCCCTCACGGTGCTATGCGAACCACAGTCGTTCATTAGCGTTACGAAATGAGGTCTCTCTCAGCACGACGAGGCAACGCTCGGTACGTAGAGTAGGCAAGTGCATATGCCACGTACGGATAGCGAAAGTGCTCGTCCTGGTCGTCGGCCGCAAAGTGCTCGTCCATCTGGAGCGCCAGCCAGCACACTGAGCCATAGCCACCGACGAGGATCGCAAGCACTCGGGGCAAGTCCTGCGGGGACACCGCCACTGGCACAGGAGGCAGCGTCGCCATTGCTCTCCAATTACGTTCGACACGTGCTGACGGTTCAGCTCGAATACGCACGTGCGGAGCGGGTCCCGCTGGATTGTCTCTGCACGACCAGATCGTCTACGGCCGGGCTCCAGTCGCCGCTTACCGACGTACAGCTGCTGCGCGCGACGCGTCGTACTGCTGCAAGTACTGCTGCAAGTCCATACTGTTGGCCACGGTAGTCGTCTGAGCAACGCCTCGATGCAGGTACAGCCGCAAGAGCTCATTCGTGTAGCGCAGTAAGTCCGGCATGGCGTCCTGCTCGTCGCCGTGAAAGCGCCCGAGCACAAACTTGTCCATGGCCGTACCCGCGGGCGCACCGCTATTGCCTCCGACGAACCAGTGCGGAGCGCCAACGCCAATGCGCAGGCGAGCAAAGCGGTCAGTGCCGACGCACTTGATGATGTCCCGCACGCCGTTCTGACCTCCGGGACCTCCGCGTGCCTTGACCCGACACGCGCCAAAAGGCAGCGCCACGTCGTCCGTGACCACGAGCAGCTCGTCGTCGTGGCGGTTCAGCGCCAGCGGGTTCTTCTTCAGTCGCCAGCGGTGCGTCTGCAGGAACGCCCGGACGGCAGTGCCCGAGCCATTCATGTACGTCGAAGGCAGCAGCACGGCGACGTCCACCTGGTCGTGGGGCACACCTTCTTGCAACGTGCGTTCCTTGGCGCGCTTGGACGAGCGGCTCACGAGATCGCCCACCGGGTAACTGCCGGACGGGCCATCGTCAGGTCCAACTTTCCACGGAAACGCAACGCGAAAGCGCGCGACGTCGCCGTGCGTTTGCGCGTCCCGTTGCAGCTGCAAGTGCTGGGCCTGTGCAGGGGTTCCGCCAGCAGCAGCAGCAGCAGACGGACGAGGGCCGAGAAGGCCGTCACGGAGTGAGTGGAAATAGCGCTGGGCGGTGATGTACAAAGGGTTGGGACCGACGTACCGTCACTTGCGACGCAAACGTGTCGACAAAGTGCTGGACGACCACAGATCCGATATTGTGTCTGTGCCAGAACGAGTGCAGCGAGCAACACGGGACGGCCATTAGTCATTCATTGCTCGTGAGGTCCCTATTGACAATGGACACGACGTTGTTGACGTTGTTGACGTTCTGGGGGGCACCCACCTCGTCTTGTAAAACTTGTCGCCGGGGTTGCCCAGCCCCACAATGAGCTTGCGAACGACTTTCGACTTGGCTGGAGACGCTGACGCTGTAGCATTTGCATGGGCTTTTTCGCTTATGCGTGATGTCGAGAAGAAGCTGCTGCTCCTGCGAGGAAGTTGCTGCGGACGACGCCCCACGTGGTGCAGCCGGAGCATCTTAAGTGGCTGACACGCGTTGGTGGGAGTTCTTGGGACACTGGCGCTGTTTGCCTCGTGCAGAGACGCTGACAGTGGTGCGGCTAGCCACGAGTGGACACGGCAAATGTATCGATGGTCGATCGATCTATGCGCGGCCTGATCACTGAAGCACGACGATGTCATCCAACCGCGACCAGACCATCGAGATACAGACGAGTTCTATTCAAACAAATTAATGGCACTGAAGGAGCGAGCGAGCCACGGAGCTTAGCAAAGTGCATTTCTAGCTGCCATGGCTTCAAATGAGTCGCATGACCCACAGCAGTGGTGCTCAGTGAATGAATTTGCTGAGAAAACGGCGGTGAAAGTCGTTGCGGATCGTGTCGTTGATAAACCGCTTCTTGATCTCCGGCTCGTTGCGCGACTGGTTTCGAAACACCACGTCGTCATTCCATCGACGCTTCATCGTGGCACTGCCTGCAGTTTGTTGCTGCGTCAGCGGGTTCCCCTGGAGGATCTCCTCGCGAACTTGTTGGTCGGTCACTTTTCTTTCCTCGTCTTCTTTGCGAAGCCGTTCCTCTTCACGCTCTTGCTTGATTTTCTCCAGCTCTCTCATCAATTCAGCCTCTTCGTCGTCATCGTCACTACAACAAAATCGGTTACTATCTGCTCACAACATTACAGCTACATACGGCCATCTCGTCGCATTCTGCAGCACAACTGAGCGCACCTGTCGCTGTCAGAATCGCTCGACTCGTCCGAGTCCGCGCCGTCATCTGCATCATTGTACTTGCTCGCTACATTCTTCAGTTGCAGCTCCCGTGCGTCGGTTTCAGCATCACCCAACAGCAAAATCTTCTTGTTGTGCTCCAAACGTCGCAACTTGTCTATAGGCCAGGCCGACACCACAACAATGAGTCTGCTAGACTTGCATTTCACCTCTACAACATAGTACAGGTTCCTGCTCTAATCCGTCCAGATCGCACCTTGCGCTGTATCTCTCTTGATGCCTTTTTCTTGCTCGTACGTTTCTTCCTTGCGCTCCAATTCTTCCCGCAAGTCCAGCAGCTCCACTTCGTTCGCTGTGCCTTGTCCAACTTGGCTACAGACACACCATAGATGCACCCACCCATCCAGCAAAGGCAGACAGTCAGCATCGGTACCAACCCCACCTCCTGTTGTATACTCCGCATCAAGCGGCAGAACGTACCGAGTTTTGAGGCGTCTGTGGGCCGGTAAATCGCGAGCCGACACTTGGTCGCTTAGTTTGCCTTAAGTACAAACAAACCGACCATTAAGGTCAGTGTCTGAGAACCCAGAGGCATAGAGACGAGCCCAGCGCGCATCACTACTGCACACACGCAGCCTCAATCAACGCACCTCCCGCGTGCCATCCTCCTTCGTTCGACTGGCCGACAGCCGCGTGCCAAGTCGGGCGGTGAGCAGTCGTCATGGCGAAGTGGCGGCTGTGTGCTCACGCGCAGCGGCACTGTTCGTTGATTGGTTAATATTCAGCCGAGTGCATGTTGGCCAGAGAAGGGAGAAAAATCCACAAATTATCACGAGAATAGTTGGAGTGCACAATATGATGAAGAAAGACACCAGCGATGCATACTGTACGACCAAAGGTCTACTTTCGTAGAGGTATTTGTGAACATTTACCTGCTTATTCTCGTACATTACACATTCATTACCAAACCTTACCATTTGTGTCCGTTCGTAGTCATTTTGCAAGAATGTAAAGGTACCTGGATGCATAAAGCATAGCATGTCGGTGCTACGCTCGATTGTAAGAACGGGTTGATTCTATCTCGTTCGTCCATACTGCACTTTTTTAGAAGTGTTTGAATATCAGTGTGTCACCTTGGTGGTATGGTTGGGTATATAATGGTAGAGACATCGTAGTGTCGAAATGGCGCGTGCACAATGCTATAAGAGATGCGTTAGGTACGACCATAGAAGCAGTAGACGAGGAATGCGCAAAGGTAGCAAAAACATACATTGTACGGATAAAGAGACAGGAGTAACGAAATGTCATTGTCGTGTTCATGTCGGTGCTTGCGGAGATCCTAGCGAAAAGTACCCTGCTCAATAGCGCTACTGCTGGTGGATAGTTACGGTCACCACAACTAGGTTTTGATACTGATGGAAGTAATCTTGTTTATCGCATATTGTAATCTGGAAGCTGTGAAGATAGATCCAGTAATTATATTTGCTCTATTTGCAGTGAAGTACACAATGCACGCAAGAGAAGAAGCTCAGTCCAGTCGGTCTACATCGAATATGTCCCGCAACAAAGTAAAACCTAATCTTTGCTACCTCATTCATTCCGTCGCTCTTTACTACGCGTCTTTGTAAAAGCAAGGGCGCTTGTGCCGTCGTGTTCATATACTTTGTGGCAACGGTATGGCGTGCCAGCTTCGTGCTTCTTGCGTAAATAAGCAGTAAAAATTTAAATACCCTTAAAATTCACCAGAATGCCGTTTATTTATCGCTTTTTACTTTGATACAACAGTATTGCCTATGTAAACTACTGTACCAAACCAATATTTTTTTATAATTTCAAAATGTTAAATTGTACAGCACATCGGTGGCGAATTTTTATCTTTTACTTTTAAAGGAATAAAAAGCCCTTTGAATCACGAAAATAAAAAATGCACCAGATAATCACGAAACTAAAATAAATGCCCCACGTCCTAGTTTGACAAATACGCTTAAGGCATCATCGCACGTTTCCTCCCTGAAACTGGCCCGCATACGACGAAGTCTGCAGACATTGAAGCCATCAGTAAGAGCTATACCAAAAAAATAGATCCATTGGGGTCTATTGATATGATTATGTGTTTTTAACTTTCAAAACTGATAAGCAGGAAGGGAATGAAATCCCGCAAGTAAAACAACATTAATAGCAACAGCAGCACCTACAAAAACAACTGCAGGATCAACACCAGTAGAAACACCAGTAGCAACACCAATAGCAATAGCAGCAGCATCATTAACAGAGCAACACCAACAGCAACCACATCACCTACAACAAGAGCAGCAGCATCAGCAACATCAAAAGCAGCATCAACGATAGCATCAACAGCATCGACAATAGCAACTGAATCAGCAAAAGCAAAAGAAATAACATTATTATCATCAAAAACTTTAGCACCGACTGAATGTTTTTACGTCCGCCACCGATGATACAAAGACGCGTTTACGAACTCATATCTCGCACCTGCGCCCGCAACTTGTGGCTGCAAGCGCAGTACGCCCGCGGCAGAACCCTCTCCGCGGCTTCCAAACAGGGCGGGGTTGGTCACAGCTGTAGCGGAGCTACACATCTCCTAAAGTCAGAGGAAGACTTAACGCTCTTACGAGCAACTTTGCTTCTACGAACCCGACTCAGAGAGTCAACAGCTCAGAGAGCTAAGGTTTTGGTCATAGAACCCGACTCAGAGAGTCAACAAGCTCAGAGAGCTTACGGTCCCCGTTCATAAGGGACCAAACGATTCAAAAGAATCACAGCACAGAGTTCTCAGGAGCAGCTACCTTCGCAGGTATTGCTAGCTCCTACCGATCAAAGACGTCTCGTAAGGCATGTGTCTTTCAGTGATCAAAAGGGGAACTTAAATTTTATTTCTTTATTAAACCTAAAAGAACACCTTAGAACAACGTATTTAAATTGTCCTAAATAACCTCTTAAAAGATCTCGTAATCAATTGATGACAGACATCAGTCTTCAACAATTGATACACTCACTGTGTTCTAAAACTACTTTATAGGGTACCCCCTCTCTTGTGTGCACCACACCTATCGTCGACTACCAGCCGATGTGTAACCCCGTTACACCCCCCCCCCACCAGACTGACGTTACCACAAAACGTCAATCGGCTTCTTTCCTCGAAGAAGTCGGTGTGTGTGTGTGTGCTTAACCTCACGGTTGCTAAACACGAAACACCATGGCATTGCCACCCAACGAGTCTCGGACTCTTTTCTCTTAATTCGACTTCGATGAGGTTGTGGACTATGGTAATGATACCAGTGTCCATGGAGATGACGGGATATCGTCCAACTACGCTGTATCTGATGCTTGACCTCTAACAGCTCCGAATCCGTTCGTTGAATGTGGTGATACCACCGCGCCAGTGGCGCAGCATCATACAACAGATGCAGATGAGAACATCATCACGAACATGCTCGACGAGCAACAGGGGCTAATCCTTCAGAGTGAGGAGAAAGCTCGACGCCGAGCTCATACCCAGGTGGTTGTTCAGAACCGAAGTGGTTACGTGTTTGCAACACCTGACATGGAGCAACGTCTCCGTCAAGCGAAAGGCCGTAGCCTCGCAACATGGGCAATTGCACCAGAGGCTACGTCGCTGAAAGACATCGCATTCCGTAAGGTTCTACATGAGAGGTATCTCGAACCATTCTTTACCACGCAAGGTCAGTGCCTTGCACAGTTTGAGAGTCTCTCTCATGGTGTTTCGGTTCGACCGATAAAGGGCGTGCCCATCTTATTGTTCGCTGGCGAACTGCCCGAGGAGGAGGACAATCAGTTCATCCGTTGGGTGTACCGCAAGCGGCACCTTAGTAGCGTGCCAGCGCTGCGGGGTAGCGTCGATGTGGCTGACGTTCGTCTATAACAAAAGCTCCGGTTCGAGTATGCCAAGGTCAACGCCAGAGGCCAGTTGCGTACACGTACGCGTTATGCTCCGGCTACAACGGTAGCCACGGGTCACGACCCTAAGGTCCGGAGCAACACGCTACCTCCCACCACTATTGGTGAGAAGCGTTCTCGTTCGCATGGCGACCCTGGTTACGATGTTTAAATACATCCACGGCGTAAGGGCAGTCCTGCCGAAGGGGTATCTCATACTCCCACGAGTTCTCCGACTCCGGGTACCCTCGCCACTTCACCAGATACTGGTATTGGCCACGACGACGACGTCGCTGAAGGTCTTTCTCCACATGGAACTGGTGGTTCCCTTGCTCATCGAGCAGCGTCGGTGGTAGTCGGGATACCGAAGGAGGAGCATGAGAAGGTGCTCCGTGAGCTGAGTGGTCTCCGAGAGACATTGGGTAAGACCCAGAGTGCGCTCGACGCGATGCAAGCCCGGGTTTAAGCATTGGAGTTGGCCTTAGCCCGTGTGGATGGTCAGCTTGACCTGCTGGTTCGGATGCAACAGCCGACGACAAGGCCTTATTACCCGGCGCAAGCGCCTCCGACTTCACATGGGACGGGTCCCGATACGGCTTAAGTAATCCAACGTAGAACACTGGGTGCGTGCGCAGTTTGCGCGGAAGGTTGAGCGTGTACGCCAATCCCTTCTTAGCAATGACCGTGAATGGCCCAATGAAGCGCGGACGCAACTTTGTCTTGAAGACGGGAGACACTACATTTGTGGGTAGGTTTTTAGCATTGAGTAGGACAAGGTCTCCGAACTTATAACTTATAATCAACCTCTGTCTTTAGCAACAGCTTGTTCCTTTTGTTTATATTGGCTATCAGCCAGTGCATCACGTACGTGTCGTAACACATTCAAGCGCGTTGCGAGAAATTTTCTTACCTGTTCATGAACAGTAGCAGGGCTGATACCAGCAAGCCGATCGGCAACTCCTCCCCCACCAAGCCCTGACCCACGCAGTGGTAGCGTTAACGGAACGCGAGGGTGTGTGAGACCGTTCACGTAGAACGGAGTAAAGCCTGTAGAGGCGTAAACAGCGTTATTTAACGCAAACTCAACAACAGGGAGCATCGAACTTCAACGTTTTGGTGTATTAGCGCAAACACTGCGCAAGATGTCACCGATAACGCGATTGACTCGCTCGGTTTGACCATCGGTCTATAGTTGATCCGCCGTGGACATGTCCAAACGTGTGCCGAGCACCTTGAAGATGGACTTCCAAAACGATCCAGTGAAGCGAGGGTCTCGGTCAGAGACAATTACCACAGACAAGCCGTGTTCTCGAAACACTTGATCGATAAGCAGCGTAGCTGTTCCTTCACCATCAATGGTATCTGGCACAGCCGCCAAGTGATCCATCTTGCTCAAACGGTCAACAAAGACCACAATACTTGTATTGCCTTGCACATTTTTCGGCAGACCGAACATGAAATCCATGCTGATGGACTCCCAGTACCCAGAGGGTATAGGAAGACTAGCGAGCGGCGCAGCCGAATGAGCTGAGAGTTTCACCCGTTGACACGTTTCGCACGTACGCACGTATGTGCTTACCCATTTGTAAAGTTTGGGCCGCCAATAATATTGGCTCACAGAGCTATATGTCTTCTCTCGACCGAGACGACCGCTCACCGCAGTATCATGCGCCTCATAGAGGATGCGATACTTCAACTCCTCATCATGAGGGACAACGATACGATGGGTATCCTCCACATCCGTGCAATAGCACAACAGGCCCTGATCGATAGAATATCGATGTAACCTTGCACACAAACGTGCC